GAACTTTCAGTATGATGATGAAAAGGGATGGTGAGCTAGCTGGGTGTGGTGGCTCATGCCTGTAATCTCAGCTGTTTGGGAAGCTTGAGGCAAGAGGATCACTTTAGACCAGGAGTTTGAGACCAGCTTGGGCGACATAGCAAGACCCCATTTCTAAAAAGTAAATTAGCAGGGCATGGTGGTGTGCACCAGTAGTTCCAGCTACTGAGGAGGCTGAGGCGAGAGAACTGCTTGAGCCCACGAGTTCAAGGCACCACTGTATTCCAACTTGGAAGAGCAAGACCTTGTCAGAAAGGCAAGGGAAAAGGAAAGAAAGAAAAGGAATAGTGAAAGAAGTCATCCTTTCCTTCCTCGTCTTAGTGAGAAAGCTGCTAGTTTCTCACCATTAAGTATAATGTAGCTGTAAGTTTTCATAGATTTTTTTTTTTTATCAAGTTAGAAAGTTCTCTATTCCTAGTTTACTGAGAGTTTTTTTTATCAAGAATGGGTGTTGGATTTGGTCAAATACTTTTTCTGGACCTATTGATATAATCGTGATTTTTCTATTTTAACCTATTGATGTGATGGATTACATTAATTTTCAAATGTTGAACCAGTCTTGCATACCTGGGACAAATCTCACTTGGTCACTGTGTATAATTCTTTTTATACATCGTTGGATTTGATTTGATATATATATATATCAAATATATACATATATATATATATAATTTATGTATTTTTTCCCTTTTTTTGAGAGAGGTCTCACTCTGTTGCCCAGGCTAGAGCACAGTGGTGCCATTGTAAGTCACTGCAACCTCAAACTCCTGGGCTCAAGTGATCCTCGCACCTCAGCCTTCCGAGTAGCTGGGATTACAGGTATGTGCCACCACACCTGGCTAATTAATTAGCTAATATTTTTTTGAGGACATTTGCATCCATGTTCACAAGAGATATTGGTCTGTAGTTTTCTTTTCTTGTAATGTCTTTATGTTGTTTTGGTATTCACATAATGCTGGCCTTATATAATAGGAAGTATTCCCTCTGCTTCTAATTTTTGAAAGATTGTAGAAAATTGGTAAAATTTCTTCTCTAAATGTTTGGTAGAATTCACCAGTGAAATCGTATAGGCCTGGTGCTGTTTTGGAAGGTTATTATTTATTCATTCAATTTCTTTAACAGATATAGGCCTATTCAGATTATTTCTTTGTGAGTTTTGGTGATTGTGTCTTTCAAGGAATTGTTCCATTTCATCTAGGTTACAAATTTGTCGGTGTAGAGTTGTTCATATTATTCCTTCATTATACTTTTAGTGTACATGAAATTTGTAGTAATGTCCCCTCCTTCATTTCAGATATTAGCAACTTGTGCTTTCTCTTTTTTTCTTAGCCTGGCAGGAAGCTTTTTGATTTTATCGATCTTTTCAAAGAAATAGCTTTTGGTTTTGTTGATTTGCTCTATTGATTTTTTTTCAATTTCATCAATTTGTTCTATTACTTCTTTTTCTTCTGCTTATTTTGGATTTGTTTCTTATCATTTCTGGCTTCCAAGGAACTGTTTTACTTTGCCACCAGCTCCATCATGTTTATGTATCCCTGACATTTTTAGTTGTACTGCACCTGGAGTGTAAGTGTAATCCACCACACTTGCTGGAAATAAAAACTTTCTGTTTTATGTTACTTATTCTAGAAAGATTTCTTCGGTTAGTCCAATAAAATTAGAGGGTGGAAGACTCAAACTTGAGTCAGAACTATATGGGTAAAAATATAGTATTGCAAATTCCCTCCCACTCCACCTTCACATAGCATATTGGACTCTAATCACAGCAAAGTTATTATGGAGATTAAATAATAATAAAAACTTAGCTCAGTGTCTGGTGCTGAAAAACTCAACAAATAGCTATAGTTATTTTGAAAAATTCTTTCACTAATCTTGCCTGTTTTTTTTACAGATGAGCTATAGAGTGATTTTTCCAATTTCTAAAAAAAATTCTTTTGGAATTTTGATTGAGATTAGTTTTGGTGGAAATGTATAAAATAATTTGGGGATATTTTACTTCTCGACAGAATCAAGTCTCTTCACCCAGGAATATAGTTATGCCTCCACTAAGTCTTTTTTGATATTCCACAGCAAAGTATGGCAGTCCCTCATTTGGGTCCTGAACATTTCTTTTGACTTCTGTAAGTTTACTAATATTGTAAGTGAAATATTAATTTCTATCAATTGTTCCTAGAATATTTAAAAGCTCTGCTTTCTATGTTTATTTTATAATTGGACATCTTTCTGAAGTTTTATAACAATTTTACAGCTTTCCAGGTAATCACATCATCTAAAATGACTTTTTCCTTTCCCAAAAGTTATACCTCCTTAAATATTCCAAAGTATATAAGAGCAGTTAGCAGATACCCTCATTTTATTCCTAACCTTAATAGGCACATCTCTAATGTTTCACAATAAACTTATTGGTGTTGACTTCATGTTCTTTAAACATAGTGTAACAAGATTTATCAGGAATGTAAGTTCGAACTATAATATTTTTAGGCACTGAAATGAGAGTATGGGTTTTGTCCTTTGCTCTACTAATATTGCAAAATATATTTTTCTACTAATCTTGTATTTCTAGAATGTATGTTATCCCACTTAATATTGGATTAATATTCCTGCCATAAGTAGTTGGTATTCATAATTTAAGACTTTTAGATCTACTTTATTCTTTCTTACTTTCTTTGACAATTTTTTGGAACTAGATTCATGCTAACTGTATAAAATGAATTTGGGTGATTTTTCTACATTTTGGAACAGTTCACAGAACTTTAAATATTTCCACCTTGAAACTGTAAAACTATTCACCTATAAAACACCTATATTTGCTATCATTTAAACATTATTTGATAATTTTATGAAAGATTTCAATGATTTGCTATTGCAGATTTCTTAAGACAATTATGAGGTCTTTTTCTAGAAAATGGTCCACTTCATCCAGATCTTCAAATTTATCAGCACATGGCAATACAGAATTTATTTATAACTTTTAAAATCTTTATTTATTAAATATTAAATATTTTTGTTCTTTTCATGTTCCTGTTATCCTGTTGCCATGTCTATATAGATATTTCGTTTTTCTTTTTCAGTGTTTTGACACTATTTATCCTGCTTTATTTTAATAGTAGTTTCCTTGATATTTTCCAAAAGCATTCTTTAAAGCACATTTTTATAACTGTCATAGTTAATGGAACAGTTTATTTCTGATGATAATGTAGAATACTTAATAGCTCTTCCTTCATCACTACCTCAATCTCAGGGCCCCCAAATTCTCAGTTTTTGTTAACATAGGTTAATATAGACTTATCCAAATACTTATTACTAAAATATTGCTTTTCCTTTATCCTTTTAAGAACTTAACACTTCATCTCATAAACAAATTTACAACAATTATTTAAATTTATGTATAAATGGTTTCAGTGTTCACTACAGTCTTTTGGTATGAGGGTGACTTAATAAACTCAGTTTTCCTTCATCTCTAAGTTGGTTAATCTTTATGTAGCCTCTTTTCTTCAGAATAGTACGTAAGTGGTATAATTTCTGAACATTTGCATGTCTGAAAATGTCTTTCCATTGTCTTCACCTGTGAAAGGCATCTTCGCTAGGTACAAATATTTGGGTTAAAAATTTTCCCCTCCAGAACTCCCTATTAACTTCTGGTATTCTCTGAGGCTAGCTTGATTTTTCTTCTCTTGTAGGTAACTGGCTTTTGTTTGGTTTTGCTTTTATCCATATAATTGTTTTGCAGGATGTGTTTAATTATAGAACCTTTTTCTCATAGATTTTTATGGAATAATGAGCCCTTTCAATCTGTACATACAGATCTTTATCCCCCCAAATCTTTATTCAACTATATCTTTGAATATTGCTTCTGCTCTACTTGTTCGGCTCTCTTTGGAAACACCAGATACCCTATGCTGGCTGAAGTGCCAGTCTCTGTCCACTCCTTCATTTGTACCACCTCTGTGTACTCTGAGTTCTGAGAGAACTTCTTGTTTTTTCTCATAATACTAATTTTACTTTCTGAAGTAGCGATCATGTTATTTTCTGTTTCCAAAGTGCATTTGTGCTTCTGTATTTTTAAGTTCCTGTGAGTCTCACCATATTCACCTCAGCCTGTTCTCTCCTTATGGCGTTCCGTTTCTGCTTCACAAATGGCACACTTTCCTAGACTCTTTTGAAGAAGCCCAATAGCTTCCTGAAAATTACTTCTAGATCCTGAAACTGAGATTATACACAAATCATGTATAATTTTGTGACTCTTTAAAACAATGTTCCTTTTCTCTTTCCTCAGTATCCTGTCCTAAGTCCCAAGTTTCACCAACTCTACCTCACCCAAGACCTCTGGCCACTTTAGACTCATCTTTGGCTATACCAAGAGATATTTCTGGTAATGGGACTTTGATATTCTTTATTTTTCACTGTTTTTTTAAACAAATGTCTTACATTGTATATACATGCTTCAGTAAAAAATTATTTTGAAAATTTTTTTCCTCTAAAGTACTCTGTGAACAGCACAATAAAAAAAAATCAATATTTGTGAATCTAGGCTACAATATATAGAAAAGTTATACTATCAATAGTTTAAAAATATGTACTTTTGCTTCCAAAAGGAGAAATTCTAATATATTAAGAAAACAGCATAACATGATTTAACCCTGTTCCCACATAAGCACCAATTTTATTCCAAATAATCACAACTTTAAGAAAGAATTTTCCTAAAATACTTTCACAAAAAGTAACGCCAGTGTCACAAATTCTGGAAATGCCATCTTAAACATTAGTACTACCTTAGTTGAACCAAAACATTCCAAAAATTCCATAGCTTCTGTAGATTTCATTTAAAAAGTTAAAAAAAAAAACAAAAACCTTTCTTTCATGATAAATGATGCTACTGGTAACTTGGTAGAATTTTAGTTACTTTGGTGAGTTTTACATTTTTACAAATAAGCAACATATATATTAAAAAATAACCCAGTCTAATGGCTTGCATTGGAGGCTAGGGAGTTGCATTTTGTTAAACCCAAATTGAACAGAGTTGAATTTAGATTAATACAGAGAAAGGCATGCTCTGGATGTGTTGTCCTTTGTATTTCTTGAAGCATCAGATGAATTGTAAAAAGTTCAAAGAGCTTCTTATTACTCCTGTAAAAGAATGAATACATAATTTTATTACATATACTTAGGGAAGTTATCTGTAATGACATTGACATAACTTATATATACTTTTGAGGAAATGGTACCTGTTTTTAAAAATAATAGATAAACTAGGTGACTAAAGAATTAAGAAGCTGAAATAGGTTTTGTGAGATAGGCCTGAAATAGAAAAGCATTTGGGGAAAAAAGGAAACATTTTATAATCCTGAAAACTGCACCTTATTCACCATTAGAGAGCTTGAGAAATCTTTTTTTTCCACACAGCTTTGTCAAATATTTGATCATCTTAAGTAAGTAGGGCCGTTTAAAGTGGCAGAATATTGACTTACCTTGCAACCTGGCTCCAGAATACTTCAACTTTCCTCATTTTAATAACTAGTCAGCAATTTCATTTTCAGTCAATCAGAATAATCTTTTAACATATTTCCTATTTCTTTTCTAAATATATTTACCTCGAGAGAAATTATCAAATAACCTTATGTACCATCCTTTAATACAAAAGGATTTACATCTTCGTGTTTTTAAATCTTTAAGACTTGCTTCAGCATCAACTATTCCTAATGCTCTTGTTCAAGCTTCGTTCAAGGTCTTTACCTAAGGCTGAAATGAACCTAAGCTACAAAACATATCCTGAATAGTGAAACATTTTGGCCCAAGGATATACTTGCACTTTGGGACTACTTTTAAAAAATCACACAAATAAAAAATTAAATCTAATGTTAATGTAACTTTATGGCATCACAGGGTAACTGCAATAAGCCTTATTAAGAATTTACTGATTACAAATCAAGAGAATCATGATACAGTCTGAAGGAAAAGGAAGACAATAAATTGATAAGTTTAGCTGGTATCAGACCAAAACTAATAATGTTATCACTTGAGAATAAGGTTATAATTTGACAATAATTCACTACAGTATGCTAGGCATGGTACCAGATAGAACACATGGATCCATTATCCCTAGCTACAAATAACTTTAAGATGCATTGCATTTCCTATTCAAGTCTACCAAAGCCTGTTAAAACTTCTACATTGTCTATGATGCAAATTATAGATGAGGGGATAAGGCTAGGGAGGGAAGAGCTGAACCAAAATAAAAATTTACTGTTATGAAAATGAGATGAGACAGAAGGTGTCCAGATTTGCCTCAAAGGAAAAACTAGACTACAGCAAGATTCTAAGAAAATACAGCTTAAAATTCATGTCCTTGATTTATAATTTAAAAACTGGTTATAACAATATTTGAGTCAGGAGAAAGAAGAGGAAATAGCCCTCAGTTCTCACAATAAAATCCAAATTAGTTGCAGTAGGAAGCCCATAATAGTTTCCTAAAACAAACTCCATTACGAAAATCATCTTAAATTTTTCTGCCTGCTTCATTTTCATTCCCTAAGCTTACTTTAGTACATCAAGAAGAAACTGCTAAATACATGTTTATTATCTAAATTTTCACCTGTGATATTACAGAATACCAGTATGCAATAATTTATTCTATTATCATTTGGTTGCTAAAAACTGCTTACTTTTATATACTGTCTATGGTATTTAAAGTTCATTTAGCTTAGCTGAACTATAGCAACAACTCGATGTTCTAAGACTGATACTGTCTATCACTAAATATGTGGTATTAGATCACATTAATATTCATGAATCTTAACTTTATATATCTGTATATTGGAAATTTGGAATTAATAATCAAAGTTGAACTAGTATGGGATTTAGAAAGGTCTAAATGAAGATGATGGATGAGAAAAACTGCCAGCCAGAGTGTCTCTGTAAGAAAGACAGATTTTAGAAGAAAGTGAAAAAAAACAAACAGGCAGACAAACACAGATCAGATGGGGGTCAGTAGGAAGCGTGCCTGAAATTACAGGAGACTTCATGGGAAGAAGTTGCAGAGGAGAACTGAAGGAGACAGGCCCCCGAGACGCTTGGAGACCAGTGACAAGGGTAGGTGGAGAGGTTAAATTTCCCTTCCCTTGCATCACGGACTGCTGGTGGGCTCCTGAGTGGTTGGAGAAACCTGCCAACACCAGCCCAGAGATGGCCACCACCAGTGAGCAGTAAGCCTCTTGCAGACAGGGTTCCAGGCTCCCAGTTCCCTCTGGGCACCTCCTGGCCCACAGACCCGAGCTGATTGGCAAGCACCATATTGCTTCATTCTCCCCTTCCCTTTTGCTACCTGTGGCTGCCGAGAGAGACAATTTAGCCACCACTGGGAGCCATCTGCAGGGAACAGGACCTTTCCTTTTGGGACCCTACAGGAGACTGAGGGGTACTCACACGGTGAGCTCTCTACCCGCCAGTCCTCCTCCCAGGTGCCACTTGCCCGGACTCCAGGAGAACAGGGTAAATCCTGAGGTGAAGTGACATCGATCCAGCTTGGGCACCCCGTGGGTAACTTGAGATCAGCACTCCTCTCCCGGGCAGGGTGAGGGATTGATCTCAAGGGCCCAGGGGACAGGCCTGCAGATGAGATCCCGTACACCCAGGCCCTGATCGCATTTGCCCAGGGCACAGAAGGGATATTTGTGAGCGAGCCTACTTCAAGTGTGTGTGCCTTCAGGGGCAGATCAGCGAGCTTGATGGGCAACCCTCCTCCCACGGGAGGGCCATGTGCCCAGCTCAGACCATAATCCTGGGCAGGGACCCTCCCGGCCGGAATCACAGCCAGGGGAGATCCACTGGCTTGCGGTCCTGCCTGCTGGCAGAGATCTGGGAGAAACCGTGGAATAGGGGTGGGTGGAAAGGAGTGTGGCCTGTTCCAGACTGCAGGTCTCGGACAGCCCCACCCCCACACGCAGACTTTTCGGCTGAGTGGGGCCATTTCAGCCCCTCCCTGGCAGCTTTGCCCAGAAGCAGAGAACAGAACTTTGACCCCTGCTAACAGCATTTGTGGTGCTTGAGGGAAGGCTCACCCAACGCAGCTCCGCCCAGACTCACTCCCCCACCTGCTCGCACAGAATTGGAGAATAAGGACACACCTGGAAGTCCCAGGGCCCCACCCAACACCTGAGGCACCAGAGTGCCTCTCCAGAGGAACAAGAGCTGGTTACAGGACCCCAAAACAACACTGAAGCCTGCTCCTCCCAGCAAGCGCCAACTACTGACAGGGAGGTCATTCTGTACACCCTTTAAGTGCATCTACTGACTCGTCATACAGGGTGTGGTTGAATTTCACCCACAAACACCATCTACTGGCTCGGAGACTAATCAGGGCATGTCATTATTCAAATGAAAATCTAAAGGTAAGAAGCAACAGCTGATCCAGATGGGAAGGAATCAGCAGAACAACTCTGGAAGTATGAAGAATCAAACGGAAAGCACTCCGCCAAAGGGGAACACAAGCTTTCTAGCAATGGACATAAACCAAATTCAGAACACTAAAATGACAGAAGAATTTTGAACATGGATTGTAAGAAAACTCAATGATATGCAAGAAAAAATGGATAACCAACACAAAGAAGCCACAAACAAAATCCAGGACTTGGAAGGAAAATTCACTAAAGAAATATTAAAGAAAAATCAAAATAGAAAGAAATGATCTGGACAACTAAAAATATATATATAGAAAAAATTAGCCAGGCATGGTGGCACAAGCCTGTAGTCCCAGCTACTCGGGAGGCTGAGGCAGTAGAATCGCTTGAGCCTAGGAGTTTGAGGTTGCTGTGAGCTAGGCTGATGCCACGGCACTCATTCCAGCCCGGGCAACAGAGTGAGTCTCTGTCTCAAAAAAAAAAAAAAAAGAAATATTAAAGAAAAATCAAACTAAACTTCTGGAAATGAATTTATTCAAGGAATTACAAAACACAGTGGAAAGCCTAAAGAACAAGGTAGACCAAACAGAAGAAAGAATCTCAGGGATTGAAGATAATGCCTTTCAATTAAATAAATCAGTCACAGAGATAGAGCAGAGAAATAAGAGAAAACAACAAAGCCTACAAGAAATGTGGGATTATGTGAAGAGTACTAATGTAAGAATCATAGGCAATCCTGAGGGTGAAGAAGAAAATACACAAGGGTTGGAGAAGCTATTTGAGGATATAATAGAAGAAAATTTCCCAGGCCTTGCTAAAAATCTAGATATCCAGGTACAAGAAGCTCAAAGGATTCCTGGGAGAGTCATTACAAACAGGAAGACACCACAACACACAGTCACCAGATTGACCAAAATAAACACCAAAGAGGTCCTTGCACCAGCTGTAAGGTGAAAGAAGCAGGTAACCTACAAAGGAAAACCCATCAGAATAATGTCAGACTACTCAGCTGAGACCTTACAAGCAAGAAGAGACTGCGGCCAGATTCTCACTCTTCCCAAACAGAATAACACCCAGCCAAAAATCTTGTACCCTGCAAAACTAAGTTTTGTATATGAAGGAAAAATAAAGATCTTTTCAGACAAGCAAAGACTGAGGGAATTCATCAAGACAAGACCTGCCCTCTAGGAAGTACTCAAAACAGTATTACACATGGATCAGCACAATAAAGACTCACGAATGACAAATCATCCAAAAGCTAAAGGTCAAAGGCCAGATACCACAATGGCTCAAGACAGAAAACAAAGCAACAAAGTTCCACTCAACAGAATGAACAGAAATCTACCCCACTTATCAATTCTCTCAATAAATGTGAATAGCTTGAACTGCCCACTAAAGAGACATAGGCTGGGCGAATGGATAAATACACACAAGCGAAGTATCTGCTGTCTTCAGGAAACACATTTAACCCATAAGGATGCATTCAGCTTCAAGGTGAAGGGATGGAAAAGAAAATTTCAAGCAAACGGACGCCAAAAGAAAACTGGTGTTGTAGGTCTGATTTCAGATAACTTTGTCTTTCATCATTTTTGTTGATTTGAAGACTAAGAGGGTCACTATATAGTGGTGAAGAGTACAATTCAACAGGAAGACATAACAATTCTAAATATGTATGCACCTAACTCAGGTGCACCCAGATTCATAAAGCAAATCCTACTTGATCTAAATAAAATGATAAACAGCAACACCACAATAGCCAGAGACTTCAACATTCCTCTGACAGAACAGGACAGATCCTCCAAACAGAAAATAAACAAAGAAACAATGGACTTAAACAGAATTCTAGAACAAATGGGTCAGACTGACATTTACAGAACATTCTACCCAAAAACCACTGAATATACATTTTTCTCATCAGCTCGCGGGACATTCTCTAAGATTGACCATATCCTAGGGCACAAAGAATATCTCAAAAAATTTTTAAAAATAGAAATTATACTATGCATCTTCTCAGACCACAGTGGAATAAAATTAGAAATCAACTCCAACAGAAACTCTCATCTCTAAACAAAGTCATGGAAAACATTCTGCTGAATGATTATTGCGTTAAGGAGGAAATCAAGATGGAAATTAAAAGATTCTTTGAACTAAATAATAAAGGAGACATGAGTTATCAAAATCTGTGGGACACAGCTAAAGCAGTCCCGAGAGGAAAATTTATATCCATAAATGCCTACATCCAAAAGACAGAAAGATCACGAATAAACAATCTAATGAATCATCTCAAAGAACTGGAAAAGGATGAGCAAACCGACCCCAAACCCAGCAGAAGACAAGAAATAACAAAGATCGGAACAGAACTAAATGAAATTGATAACAAAAAACTACATGGAAGATTAATAAAACAAAAAGTTGGTTCTTTGAAAAAATAAAATTGACATGCCTCTGGCTAGATTAACAAGAAGCAGAAAAGAAAGAACTCTAATAAGCTCCATCAGGAATGAAAAGGAGAAATTACAACTGATGCCACGGAAATACAAAATATCATCTATGAATACTACAGAAACCTCTATGCACATAAACTGGAAAATATGGAGGAAATGGACAAATTCTCAGAAATACACAGCATCCCTAGGCTCAATCAGGAAGAAATAGAATTCCTTAACAGACCAATATCAAGTACCGAAATTGAAACAGCAATTAAAAAAACTGGCCGGGCGCGGTGGCTCACGCCTGTAATCCTAGCACTCTGGGAGGCCGAGGCGGGCGGATTGTTTGAGCTCAGGAGTTAGAAACCAGCCTGAGCAAGAGCAAGACCCCGTCTCTACTAAAAATACAAAAAAATAATCAGACAACTAAAAATATATAGAAAAAATTAGCCGGGCATGGTGGCGCGTGCCTGTAGTTCCAGCTACTCAGGAGGCTGAGGCAGAAGGATTGCTTGAGCCCAGGAGTGTGAGGTTGCTGTAAGCTAGGCTGACGCCACGGCACTCACTCTAGCCCGGGCAAAAGAGTAAGACTCTGTCTCAAAAAAACAAAACAAAACAAAAAAACCAAACAAACAAACAAACAAAAACCTTCCTAAAAAGAAAAGTCCTGGGCCAGATGGTTTCACACCCAAATTTTACCAGACCTACAAAGAAGGACTGGTGTCTATCCTGCAGAAATTATTCTACAACATCGAGAAGGAAGGAATCCTTCCCAACACATTTTATGAAGCCAACATCACCCTGATACCAAAACCAGGAAAGGATGCAACAAAAAAAGAAAACTACAGACCAATATCTGTATGAATATAGATGCAAAAATTCTCAAAAATAAATCCTACCAAACTGAATTCAGGTGCTTATCAAAAAAATAATCCATCATGACCAAGTGGGCTTCATCCCAGAGATGCAGGGATGGTTCAACATATGCAAATCTATAAACGTAATTCACCACATAAATAGAAGCAAAAACAAAGACCATATGATCCCCCTGATAGATGCAGAAAAAGCATGTGACAAAATTCAACACCCTTTTATGATAAGAACACTTAACAAAATAGGCACAGACGGGATTTACCTAAAAATGATACAACCCATACATGACAAACCCACAGCCAACATCATACTGAATGGGGAAAAATTGAAAGCATTCCCACTTAGAACTGGAACCAGACAACGTTGCCCTTTATGATCACTTCTATTCAACATAGTGCTGGAAGTCCTAGCCAGAGCAATAAGACAAGAGAAAGAAATCAAGGTCATCCAAATTGGGGCAGAAGAGGTCAAGGTCTCACTCTTTGCTGCGATGTGATCTTATATCTAGAAAACCCCAAAGATTCTGCCATGAGACTACTGGAATTGATAAACAAATTCAGCAAAGTCTCAGGTTACAAAATCAATGTACAGAGATCAGTAGCATTCCTATATGCTAACAACAGTCAAACTGAGAACCAAATCAAAGACTCAATACTCTTCACAATAGCAACAAAGAAAGTAAAATACCCAGGAATATATTTAGCTAAGGAGGTAAAAGACCTCTACAGGGAGAACTACTAAACACTGAAGAAGGAAACAGCAGAGGACATAAACAGGTGGAAAACCATACCATGCTCATGGGTCGGCAGAATCAACATTGTTAAAATGTCTATACTACCCAAAGTGATCTACAGATTCAATGCAATCCCTATTAAAATACCAACACCATTTTTCACAGATCTAGAAAAAATAATTCTACGCTTTGTATGAAACTAGAGAAGACCCCAGATGGCAAAAGCAATCTTAACCAAAAAGAACAAATTGGGAGACACCAATTTATCAGACTTCAAGCTATACTATAATGCTACAGTAACTAAAACCACATGGTACTGGCATAAGAACAGAGACATACACCAAAGGAACAGAACTGAGAATCCAGATATAAAACCATCCTCATGTAGCCATCTAATCCTTGACAAAGCAGACAAAAACATGCACTGGGGAAAAGAATCCTTGTTCAATAAATGGTGCTGAGAAAACTGGATAGCTACATGTAGAAGACTGAAATAGGATCCACATCTTTCACCTCTCACAAAAATCAACTCATGGTGGATAACAGACTTAAACCCAAGGCATGAAACTATAAGAATTCTAGAAGAAAATGTTGGAAAAATTCTCATAGACATTGGCCTAGACAAAGAATTTATGAAGAAGACCCCAAAGGCAATCACAGCAACAACCAAAATAAATAAATGGGACCTGATCAAATTAAAAAGCTTCTGCACAGCCAAAGAGACTGTCAAACAGACAATCTACAGAATGGGAGAAAATATTTGCATGTTATACATCTTATAAAGGGCTGATAACTAGAATCTATACAGAACTCAGGAAAATCATCAAGAAAAAAATCAAACAACCCTATCAAAATGTGGGCAAAGGATATGAACAGAAACTTTTCAAAAGAAGATCGACTAATGGCTAACAAACATGAAAAAATGCTCAACATCTCTAATCATCAGGGAAATGCAAATCAAAACCACAATGAGATATCGTTTATCCCCAGTGAGAATGGCCTTTATCAAAAAGTCCCAAAAGAATAAATGTTGGCGTGGATGAGGAGAGATAGGAACACTCATACACGGTGGGACTGCAAACTAGTACAACCTTTGTGGAAAGTAATATGGAGATACCTCAAAGAGAAACAAATAGAACTACCATTTGATCCAGCAATCCCATTACCAGGCATCTACCCAAAAGAACAAAAGACATTCTATAAAAAAGACATCTGCACTCAAATGTTTATAGCAGCACAATTCATAATTGTAAAGATGTGGAAACAACCCAAGTGACCATCAATACATGAGTGGACTAATGAAATGTGGTATATGTAGGCCATTCTGATGAGATCTCAAATGGAAATGAGGTACAAGCATGGAGTTCTACTCAGCCACAAAAAACAATGGTGATATAGCACCTCTTGTACTATCCTGGGTAGAGCTGGAACCCATTCTACTAAGTGAAGTATTCCAAGAATGGTAAAGCAAGCACCACATGTACTCACCATCAAATTGGTATTAACTGATCAACACTTAAGTGCATATTAGTAATAACGTTCATTGGGTGTCAGGCAGATGGGAGGGGGAAGGAAGAGATGGGGACATACACATCTAATGGGTACAGTGCGCACTGTCTGGGGGATGGATACACTTGAAGCTCTGACTCAGGTGGGGCAAAGGCAATATACGTAACCTAAACATTTATACCCCCATAATATGCTGAAATAATAAATAAATAAATAGGTCTAAATGATCATAAGAAGTTATCTTTCAATAAAAATGTCAGAATTATCAAATTCTTACTTGATTTTCGAAAGTTTCTGTAGAATAATACTGAGCTTTTCTAGTATGTGAAGATCAAGCTTAGGGGTTCGAAGCAGCACGGAGCAAGTACGAAAAAATAAAGTGTTGCTACAGGCTTCCAGGAAAGGCTGCAAGAATTCTGCAAAACAAATCATCCATGTTTTACTGTTAGGGAGTAGCTAAAAAGGAAATCAGAAACCAAATAAAACCAGAACTATGTGGGGGCAATTATAAATACTGATTTAGATTTTCATTCTTTTCATACTTAAACTTTGGGGCAAAAATATGATTTGAAAAATTGAAACATACATTGGCTCTTGTTGAACATTGTAGATGAAAGATAAGATTATTTTCTCTAATATCAAACACTGGTTAGGCAAAATTTAGTGGAAATCCCATGTTTGAAAGAAAGGAGGGAAGTCATTTCTTCAACAAATTCTTAACAAGCTCAGTTTAAATAATCAGGAATAAAAAATTTTTTGGAAGTAGTAAATAAAAACAAACCAAAACACCTACATTTAAGAATCTCATTTCAATATTAATGACAATTTACATAGTCACTGGAGAAGGAGGAACTTTTTGCATATAAAAGGGAGAAGATTCATTTAAAAATATGAAAAATTTTCAATTGAAAATTTAAATATTTTAATTGTCTATGTATAAAAACATTAATTAAATCGAAAAAAGGCAAAGCCCTAGAAAACAAAAAAAAGCAAAAGGAAATGCCAAATTTGGAAGAGAGAAGGGAAATCTCTTTGTAATATATTTGCCACAAGATGTACCTAGTATTTTTAGTAATGACCAAAGGACAAAAATAAGAAGTTCAGAACATAATATAGTAAAAATATTCAATAAGAGTAGGAATAAAATAGTAGGAATTGGGCAAAGTTGTATCAAAAGCCTTAAAAGTGTATATATCCTTCGATTTAGCAATTCTGCCTCCAAGAATGTATCTGATAGAGATGTAAGTAAAGGTTTATGAATATGATCCATGATAAAAGGCCTGTTAGAGTTCCTTGTGAATTTATTACAAAATAATGTATAAAAATGCTTTTTAAGGTTTTTAAGCCAAACGCATTAATGGCTGTTGGGAAAGCCTGAAAAGACATAAAAATAATGTAAAAATATTAAATTTTATCCTTTAAAATAGTTAAGTTCCTTTGTAAAAAGCATCTATAAAACTCTGAGGCTACCACAATGAATATCAGTGTTTATTCCAAATACAAATAAGTTATTAGCCATAAAGGACCTAAACATATGACGGCTAGCTTTCATCTTGTTTTTTGACTCCATAAGCACAGCCTGAAAGACTTATGGGTCACTATCTTGACAGTGTACTATTTAAATAAACCATGAAAGCAACAAAATCCAAAATAAAGTCAGAGGAATGGCCTGCTAATAGAAAATAAAAGGCAGTTCCCATGATTTAAATGTTTGTCCCCACCAAAACTCATACTGAAATTTAATTGCCTTTGCAATCATATTAAAAGGTAGGACATTTAAAAGGTGATTAGGCCATGAGGCTCCACTCTCATGGGTGGGATTGGTGCCATTATTAAAGAGCAAGTTCAGCCTCCTCCTGCTTTCTCTCACTCTCTTGCTTTCCATCATGTGATGATGCAGCAAGAAGACCCTTGCAACATGCCAGCACCTTGATCTCAGACTTCCCAGCCTCTAGAACTGTGGGCCATTTAACCTCTGTTCATTATAAATTACCCACTCTTTGGCATTCTATTATAGCAGCACAAAAAAACTAATACAGAAATTTGTAACAGAGAAGTGGGGAGTTACTATAACAAATGTCTGAAAATGTGGATGTAACTTTGCAACTGGGTAATGGGCAGCGGCTGAAAGGATTTGAAGGAGCAGCTGAAAACAGGTTAGACTGTGGAGGGGGTGTAACACAAGGAGCTCCATTCTGCTGCTGACCCCTGTGGTAGTATCCTTTGGGTTAAAAGCTTTTGCTTAGCTCTGCAAGTAGGCCAGTTAATTATAGGAAGAATTTAAGTTGTAGTTCAACTCTAAAAGTAAGATGATAACTGTTTCTTTTCTAAAACTAACTCCCAGGGATATAAGGAAAGTATAGACACAAGCAACAAATCTATGTTAAAGATTTATAGGAGCATGATGACCTAACCTACTCGTTCAAAGTTAATTGACCATGAGAAATCTAAGTTTTACAACCTCCTGAGACCCTCACTGAGGTCCTTGGTTACCTCTTGTAACTGCTCCCGTCCCCTTAACATAAAAAGGAGCCTAAAGTTCATACTAAAGATGGTTCTTTAAGACTTTAGTCCTCCACTTCTCAGTGTGCTGGTTCTCTGAATAAAAGCTGCTTTCCTTACCCCAAAACCTGTGTCTCAACTTACTGTCTGTCCTGCAGGAAATGATATGAGCTTGGACTCGGTTACAATTGCCATGAATAGAGCACTAAGGGCAATTCTGGTGAGCGCTCAGAAGAGGAGAGCTGCACAGAAAGTGTGAAACTTTTTAGAGATGACTTCAGTGGTCGTGATCAGAATGCTGGTAGAAATATGGACAGTAAATGCCATTCTGATGAGATCTCAGATGGAAATGAGGAACAAGACATTGGAAACTAGAGAAAAGGCCATCCTTGTCACAAAGTGGCAAAGAACTTGTCTGAATTGTGTCTGTGTCCTAGGACTTTATGGAATGCAGAACTTAAGAGCTATGGAAGAAAAATATCTAAGCTCCAAAGCATTCAGAATGCTGCATGGCTTCTTTTAACTGCTTATAGCAAAATGTAAGAAGAGAGAAATGATTTAAGGACAAAATTTAAAATTAAAAGGCAGGCAGAACATAAAGATTTGAAAAACTCTCATTCTGTCCTTGTAAACAATAAACAAGTATGCTCAGGAATGAATATGAAGGGTGTGGCTAAGCAACCCTTTGATAAGGAGATTAGTACGGACAGAAGAAACCCAGAAGCTGTTCATCAAGACAGTGGGAGACAGCCCCTAAAGGCATTTATGAGATCTTCTAGGCAGCTCCTGCCATCAGGCTCAGAGCCTGAGGGCACTGAGAGCAGAATAGTTTTGTGGAATTGGCCTGAGGTGCCCCTGGGAAGAGCTTACTGCCCAGGGCCGCCTGGGGTCTCCCACCCCAGCCATGGCTCTGGCGGGTGCAAGCGATGAGCCTTGGCAACATCCACATGGTACTTATTTTGCAGGTGCGCAGAATGCTTGAACTGTGGGGGGATGGCTTCCTCCATCTAGATTTCAAAGGATGTTGCAAAAAGCAGAGATCTGTCACAGAGGCAAAGCCACTACTGAGAGCCCCACTAGGGCAATACCCTGCTGCATAGAGTCCCCACTAGGCCTAGTGGAGCCATGGGGATAGGGTCACCCCAGAGATCCCAGAACTGTAGAGCTACCAGTGTGCAATGTCAGTCTGGGAGAGTTGTAGGTACAAGACTGCAACCCGTGAGAGTTGCTGTTATAACAGAGGAAATACCTGAAAAAACGGCAAAATTATTTTCTGGCTCTTTAAAACATCCTCCACTTCTTTTTGAGAACTAAAACCTGCATCTCTGCCTCAGGCCAATGGTTGGGAGGAACAGGTTAAGTCTTTTGGTATTGGTGCCACAGGAGACGGCTCACCCTGACCTGGCAGAGGGAGACCCTGAGTGGAGGTGATGGGATTGTCTTCAGTGGAAATGGGAATCAGAATCATCAGAATCATCAACTGTAGTTGAATAGCAATTGCTTAAAGCCGAGAACCCACCCTTTAAAAGCTCTGTATTTCTGCTTATTGGGTGGACGATGGCATTTCAGACAGTAGTCTCCATCCTCCTCCTTTGCCAGAAAAGTAATAAACTTCTCTTTCCTTCTCAAACCACTTGTTCTCGTTCTTCTGATACGGCCTCGAGGAAAAGTGCTGAGCTTTCAGTAACACTGTGTGGGCTGTGCCCAGCAAAACCATAGAGGCAGAGTTGCCTGAGGCCTGGGGGGCCCAACTCCTGCCCCAGTGTGCCCAGAGGGAAGGACATGGACTCAAAGGAGAGATTTACTGTTGTTCTCCTTGCTGGGTTTTGGATTTACTTAGGATGACTTACCCCTTTTTTCTTGCCTATTTCTCTCTTTTGGAATGGGACTGTCTATCTTACAACTGTCCCACCACTGTAGTTTGGAAATGTGTACCCTTTTTTGTGGGGGGAGGGGTGTGACAGGGTCTCACTCTGTTGACCAGTCTAGAGTGCGGTGGTATCATCATAGCTCACTGAAGCCTCAAACTCCTGGGCTCAAGTGATCCTCCTGCCTCAGCCCTCTGAATAACTGAGACTACATGTCACCATGCCCAGCTAATTTTTCTGTTGTTTGTAGAGACAGGGTCTCACTCTTGCTCAGGTTGGTCTCAAACTCCTGGCCTCAAACGATCTTCCTGCCTCGGCCTCCCAAAGTGCTAGGATTACAAGCATGAGTCACCACACCTGGCGTAGGATAACATGTAACTTGTTTTGATTTCACAGCTTACAGCTAGAGGGAAATTTGCCTCAAGATGAATCATGTCTTGGGTCTCACTTGTATCTGTTTTAGATCAGACTCTGGACTTTAATTTTAATTTTTTTTGAGATAGTGTCTAGCTATGTTGCCTAGCTCGTCTTGAACTCCTGGGCTCAAGGAATCCCCTGCTTCAGCCTCCCAAGTAGTTGGGACTACAGGTGTCCCACTGCGCCAGGCTGAGACTCAGAACTTAAGCTGATACTGGAACATGTTAAGACTTTTGGGGACATTGGGATGAAATTAATGTATTTTATATGTGAGAAGGATAAAAGTTTTGGGGTCCAGGGGCAGAATACTATAGTTTAAATGTCTGTCCCCTCTAAAATTCATGTTGAAATTTAATTGCCATTGTAACAGTATTAAGAGGTGGCACCTTTAAGAGGTGATTAGGCCATGAGGCTCCACTCTCATAGGTGTGATTAGTGCCATTATAAAAGGGCGAGTTCAGCCTCCTTCTGCTTTCTCTCACCCTCTCTTCTTCTATCATGTGATGATGCAGCAAAAAGACCCTTGCAAAATGCCAGCACCTTGATACAAGACTTCTCAGCCTCCAGAATTATAAGCCATTACATTTCTGTTCATTATAAATTATCCAGTCTTAGGCATTCTTTATAAT